ACAATTTCTGGAAACATTCCTACTGAGGTCCTTTGCAGCTCACAAGACTCTCACTCTGATAAAGCGAGCTCAAATGCATTTGTGTGCCTGTGTGTGCCCTGTGTGTGCATACCCATGTATGCACCTGTGTGTATGAGTGCGTAGTGTGCCAGTGCGTGTACTCTGTGCTCTGAATTTTATACTTGTGTCTTTCCTAATGACAGTTGGTCACATGATATATCATTTAAGACCCTGAAACATCAGTGTCCCAGCTGCCTCCTTGAGCTGTTGTTAGCCCTCCTTTACCACATGGGAGGATCAGTTCTGAGAGCCAGGCCATCCCTGCTGGGGCAGGGTTAGCCTGGGCCCCACCCTGAAACACTCCACCACCACCTGAACCTCCTGCTTTGCTTCCCTAAGGTGGGTGGTTTCTTCATTGATACTTAGTAGCCCCTGGAATCCTGTGCTTTAAAAAACTGTGAGCCAGGTTTATTGACCTGCATGTTTAATCCCAGCACTTGGGAGGCAGAGACAGGTGGATCTCTGGGTTTGAGGCTAGTCTGGTCTACATAGCAAGTTCCAGGCCAGTCAGGGCTACATAGTGAGACCCTTTCAAAAAAAACAACAAAAGCCCCCTTCAAAGCCACCAGCTTGCCTTCGTTGCTCAGACTGTGTTATTGAGGACACATTGGTCTCTGTCAACTTGAAAACCAGGCAGGTTTAAGCACCAGTCCAAAGGGAAATGCTTCGAGCCCTCAGTGGAACTGCAGGGGTGTGTGTGTGTATGTCGCAGATATTTAGGTAATTGTGACCCCCCCACCCAAACTCGTGGCACCCTGCAGTGCCTAGCGTGGCTGGTCTTTGCAGAACCCTACCCTGGGCAGAGCTGGCTCTCGGCTGCCCTCATAGAGTCCCAAGCAATCCCTTCTGGGGGACAAGCTTGCCACCTACGTTCCAGTTTGGGCCACCATCCTGCAGTGAGCAGGCTCACACACCTCGAAGGCCCTGCTCAGCCCTGGGTTCCACCTTTGGCAAAATGTAAGGTCTGTTTTTTCTAAAGTCTGAAGTATTATGAGAGGTATTGCGCCTAATGAATATTATAGTTAAGTAATTTAAATGTTTATTTATTTTTAACGCAAAGATTTTGATTAAGCCAATTGACCTGGAAATGTCAGTGAGATTTCTAACCTGCAAAGAAAGTGGACATTTTGTATTTAAACCATAATGTGTACATTTTATGGATAAAGAAATCTGATATTTAATAAAATCACCGTTCTTTTGAAATGCGGACGACTCTTTGTAGAGGTGGAATTGGGGTAGGCCTAGACCATTCCCTTCTAGTTTGAAGACTCAACTCTGAATTCCAGAATTTCTTGTGTTAAACCGGGGCTTTTTGGAAGACAGCCCAGAGGTCAGACAGGAAGTGAAAGAATAAAGGTATGCTACGTCCAGAGTCCAGGGACCCCGCACCTTCCTTACACCGATCAGTGAGACTTGTGTTGTCATGCTGATTCTGGACCTGCCTGAGATGGGCCTGTCTAAGGAAGCGCCTGGGGGACCCTGCTCATCTAGAAGCTTCTGGGTCTCAGCTCAGTTTCCTATCTGCCCCACAGGCCTGCTGTGCCAGCCTCAGGCAGTGTGAGCAGAGCAGAGTCCCCTGGACCCTGTGCAGCTTCCGAGCAGGGCCCTGCAGGAGCTTTTGTGGACTTGAGCACGTGGGTGGGGGTTGGAGTGGGAGGTCTGAAACCTGCCTGAAGAGTATTGGGTACAGGTGGCTAAGTGTAGGAAGTTCTGGAGGCCACCAGCTTCAGTTGCAGACCTGGGCCCAGATCCACTCCACCATCGGAGGCTGAGTCCCATGGCTAATAGCCTTGGGGCTCCCACCCCGCGTACTTGGACCAAGGTGCCGCCAGCAATGTCCCGAGTCCAGGGCTGAGAATGTTGGAGTAGCTAACCAGTGGCTAACTGGCGGCCGGAGAAGGCCGGAGAAGGCCGATCTTGGGAAAGGGCTGTTGGGACAGCCCAGTCTGGTAAAACCCAGCCCTGGAGTGACGCCCACCTGACTCCGCCCGGGCAAGGGCCGAGGGCGGGGACAGAGGGGCGGAGCGGGCAGGGACGCCGGCGCCTCCTTCAGCACCACGGACAGTGCCAGCCCTGCGCGTCAGGCCCAGGCCCGGGGATCCTGCACTGCTCGCGGGGAGATCCAGCACTCCTGTGGAGATCCCACACTTCTGGGGGAGATCCGGCATCGCAGGGGAGATCCAGCACCCCTGGGGAGATCCAGCACTCCTAGGGAGATCCCACAGTGCTGGGGAGATCCAGCACTCCTGGGGAGATCCAGCATTCCTGGGGAGATCCAGCACTCCTGGGGCCACCCCACACCTACCGGCACGGTGATGCTACTGGAAACAGAACTCGATTGCAACCAAGAGCGGCCTGCTGCCCCACCAGCTGCCGCCCTCTGCACCTTCAGCAGGACTCGGGGTAAGAGCCACTGCTCCCAGAAGCCTTCCGGAGAGGCTGAGGGCAGAGGGGTAGCCCTGAGGGAAGCCGCATAGAGGCACCCGCAGATTAAGCACAGGGTGGTAGTGGGCAAGGGGGAGATAGAGGCCGCAGCAGGGTCACTGGTGGGACCTGAGACGTGTCAGAAAGGGGCAGAGTGAGGGACATAAAGGCCTCCAGAGACCAATGCGCTTCCCCCACAGCTCTGGCTGCATCCGGGGACCCCGGGGCCAAGTCTCCCGCCTGAACTCCTTCCCCAAGGGCCATTTCATTTCCATGGACGTTGGGAAATAATAGAGGCTTTGTTGGAGGCCAGCCAGATGCCCAGCAGTGTGGGTCCGCCCCTTCCCCAGTCCCACCACACATGGCCCCTGCCCCACCGCCTGTGCAGCGGCAACTGACATTCCGCGGCTCATACCCCAGCTCACCCAGCACCCACTCTGCTCCACTCTGGCCTGACCTCTTGGAATAACAAATGTAGGGCAACTGGAAGTGGAGAAGAGCAGCCTTTGCTCAAGGCTGAGGCGGCAGGTGTGCTGTGCTGGGAGCCGGTGGAAAGGCTGTGGTTTTCTTTCGCCCATCCTTCCTGCCCTGGGCCCTTAGAGCTCACAGTCCAAGCAACAGGAGTGTAAGGCAGGTAGAGGAACCAGGAGGGTGATTCCCCCAGACACTTCTAGTGTCTCTGCCAGCTGCCAAAGCCCCTCCGCACCCTGTGAGTTCTAACCGTGGGTGACTGCACCGCCCAGGTGCCTGCCGTCCGGTGGCTGGGTGCCTGCGAGCCCTCGGCAAGAGCAGAGGCAAGGATAAGGGTGGGTTCCGGTGGGCTCACCTGCTTGGTTGGGGACCGGGATGTGGAAAACCGGGTAGGGGATCGTTCTGAGGAGCTGGATTCTGGAGATGAGGCTGGATCCCCGGGCTTGGCCGGTCAGCCCCTTCTGACCCAGGGTCTTGACCCCGTGTTGGAAGGAGACACCCGGTCTGAGTCCTTCCCGAGAATCCCGCTTCCTCCGCTGGCTCCAGTCCGCAGTTCCAAAGGTGGGGTCGGGGCTGAAGGCATGGGGTCACACCTGCCTCCTCGCAGCTCCACGTTCCCACCCTGAGTGTCAGACCGCGCCGCCGCAGACCGGGCGTAACCCCAAAGCCTCCCAGCGCGGGCTCCGGAGGCCCAGCTAGAGCGAGGGTCTCGAACCCGGCTCCCTCCCCGCGGCTTCCCCCGGGACCTCAGCCCTCCCCGGCCCGCGGGAACTAGCCGCCCGCCGCCGAAGGCCTTGCCTCGAGGTTCCCTGCGGTCCACACCCTCGGGCTGGGCACGCGGGGCGGCTTCGGGCACCTCGGTCGAGGCTCCGAGGCGCACAGAGCCGGCGGCGGCCGCCCAGCGCCTCCGCGACCCCCGCCCCGCCCCGCCCCGCACCGGGC